AAACAGCATGAGTACATTTTCCCCTTTACTCTCCATTTTTCTTCTCTGTGAGGTTGCTGAGTTTATACACTCTTGAACTTGGAATTTTCCCTCATAGCTTGAACAGGTTATCTTTTAAATTTCACTTGAACCCATTTTTAAATTCTTTTATTAATGAGAATAAGAATACCAAGAAGAGAATCTAATAATTAATAGCATCACAGCTCTGAGCTATCAGTGCTTATATAGAGGGACAACAGGTAATACTGAGTTGCAGTAGTCTTTGTAATGGAGGCATTTGCAGCAGTTTTCCACAGCTTCTCACAGACTTCTTCTAGGCTTATAGCATTCAGGAGAGGTGATGTCAATATTTAGGGTTCAATGTGGCAGAAGATGAAGAGAAGTGCTGTGAAGAATCATCTCTCATTCAATGCTAATTTCTCATTATGTCTTAGTTCTGCAATGTCTCTGGCACTGCTCTTCTCCTGTCTTGAGTGGATGAAATGCCCATGTTATAAAATATCACCCCAGCCTAGTCCCTGAGTCATACAGTTTTTCTGTGTCTATTCTTCATGATCATAGAGAGACCATAGCAGAAACAGTCCTTATAACAGGTCTCTGGATCTTCTCATAATTGGCCTATGTCTTTCATAACCTTTAGGCCTTGTTGGGTATCTTTGTTAAATATTGACTGAAGCCTTCCTACAGGACACACATTCTTCCTTGGTGCTTTGGATGTCTCACAGTGTTCTAAGAGATTCCTGAGCATCCTCAGCAACATGTTATCACCACAGGTTCTAAATCTGCTTGACAAATGCCTTGGCCTTCCTATTGATCCTTTTAATTCCTTGTTATTCCATAGACTATTATCCCCCCACCCCATGATTTGAATAAGAAACATTCTCTGTTCTAGCATATCTGAATATTCCGTTCCTAGAAGGTGGTCCTCTTTATAGAGTTTCAGGTAGTGCAGTCTCCCCAGAGGAATTATGTCACAGGAAGTGAGTTTTGATATTAAAAGATCTTGTGATTACTTTCAGTTTGTTCTATCTGTTTCATGCTCTCTAATGAGATTGTAGATCTTAGCTTCCTGATCTGTCTTTCATGCCTCTCAGTTTTGATGGATACATATGCCTTAGGAATAGTATGGCCAAATAAACCCTTTATTCTATACATTATTTTCAGCATGCTGTATCATGTTATTGACAGAATAGTAACTAATACACCCTCATCCCTTCTAACTTACTGTTGGGCTTTCTGCTTCTTGTACATGTAGATGGCAGAGGCACCAATTACCAGTAGCAATTTGGGTCCAATAAGCACAGCTACAAGGATTTCAGCAGTATCTGATGTTTTCAGTTCTGGAAATCAAGTGATAGGAGGAACCATTAGAGAGGACACAAGGAATTTATGATCAGGAGCTTTACCTGTCCCATTTATAGATCTCCAAGTCTATCAAATCTCAGAGGAGTTTGAATCTGTGCCCTACCCCAGCTCTAATACTTCAAAGCAGAAGATATTCTAAAGAGATTTCTAGTTTTGCTTTGTGTTGTGAACCTTTTTAAATTTATTACATAATTAGCAATTAATATTCTAGGCATCAGTTCCAGAATATTTGTTACTATGAATGTGTCTGTATATTGAATATATACTGGAGGCCTTATACTCTCAAAAAGGTCCCAGAGAAAGGGAATTCCTTCTCACTGGAGAATCAGCAGTAAGAGCTACACTCTCAGGATCTCACACTACATAGCCTTAGTTTTCCCCTTTCACATATCACTTCCCTCTTTAATCTGTTAACATCCAGTTCTACAAGTACCGCTGAACATTTTGCAAGTCACATTGAGGGAGAGATGTGAGTTGCCTCCCTCTTTCAAGATCTAATGACTTTCTTGGTTCTGAAAGAAATGCATACCCTGTTGTCAGAGAGTTGTTAAATATGCCTGTGGATATAAAAACTAGAAGCCTTGTGGGATAGGGAAAAAAAGTCAAGAAATCTTTTAGAAGAAGGAACTTTTGGAGACTTTTTAGAAGTAACCTTGAGACAAGTTTTAGAAGGTACTTTTAGAGAATTCTTAGAAAGAACTCTCAGAGAATTTCTAAGGAGAACTTTTGAAAGAGAACATTAAGAGAGAGCTTATAGAAGGAAAAATACTAGAACTTTTAAGGAGAAATCCTAAAGAGAGCTTTTGAGAGTACTTTTTGTGAAGAACATTTCTTGAATAATAAAGAGCTTCCATTCTTGAAGAATAAAGAGCAATGACAGGAATGCATGTGTGATTTCCTTTAGGCCCTCAGATTAGAACTATTTTAGCAAGCCCCTCACCTGCCTTGCTGTAAGCCTCTTGCCTGAACCTGAGATCTTTGGCCCTGCCACAGGTCACCAAGTTGCCCTTCTAGAGAGATTCTGTAGGAATTTGTACTTAATGCCATATAGCACTAGCTTTTGTGAACAGAAGTTTCCATAAAGAAGCCAAACTGTAGCATGATGAATAAAAGACCCAGAGACAGATTTTATGGTTGAATCGTTAAGCTGCAGATCAGAAAAACAAAGCAGCCACCTACTAGCTCTTACTGCTACTATAGACTGAAAGGTGATCCTGGCTCCACCAAACCTCAGATTGCAATCCTAGACTGCTGCTAAGCTCTCCTCAAAGTGGCTGGAGAATCCTGAGACTGAATAGTAAAGACCCTGCTACTATCTTTTATATCTCTCTAGTGTTGGAATTAAAGGTGTGAGCTCTGTTACTCTTTTAGACTGATTCAATCTTGTGTAGCCCTGGTGGCTTTGAAGTCAGAGAGATCCATCTGACTTTGTTTCCTGAGTCCAGGGATTAAAGTTGTGTACTACCACTGCTTGATCTCTATAGCTTGAGGCTGACTTTGCTTTCTGAATCCTCAGGCAAACTTCAATAAATCATAAATAATATACCACCAACGGAACCTTCAAATGTTCAAATTGATCCTTTTATAAAAATTATTAACTTTTTGAAATTCAGTGAATTTCATATTGCAATTATAGAGCCAAGTTATGATAGAACATATTCAGCTCTCTTAATAGACATACATCACCTACCTCTGTACTTGACCTAACAGCTTGTGATCATTAGGTAAATAATCCAGAATGTACAAGCAGAATATTAGTTTTACTTCATAATCTATTAACTTAGAAGACCAATAACTTTCACCAAACCAGATGCCAAGCATGTCATCAGATGCCATTTGAAACCTCTAATTCTCTGCGGTATTGTAACACACATTTTCTATGTTTCCACCAGTGCAATGCACAAGTGTCTTCAGGTATGGCTTTCTTTGTTCTGTTCCTACAAAAATTGCATAGAAATTTTTTCCACAGAGGGTAGTATAAATTCAAGGGAAAATACTTTTTTTTTCACCATCTACAGTTGTTTTTATTTCCCAAGTAGGTTTTACAAACTGCATTTTTGTTCCAGTAAATTCACTGCACCAGGAGTTGTAAATTGAGAGGAAGTGAGAGTTCCCCAAGATTTCTTAACATTAAATAAAACAAAACATGAAACCTTCAAAGATTGTTGCCTTCTTGCCTTCAATTATAAATAATTATAATTTTACTTTACTCATTTGTTAGCATTCCTTTAAGAAGCATTCCTGTCATTTCCAACTTTTTGTCCTGACACCTAAACGATCTGGTTATAAAAGATGGAATTTTTTTTTATCTTATATTTTTAAGTGAAAATAGTTCCATCAGTATCATACTGACACAACTCAGAATCTACCATAATTAGTCAATAACTAATTGGTTATACAGAAAATTTGATAAGTGTTCTACTACCATGAATGAATTTTTACAGATGGAGTAAAATATATATACTATATAAAATTTCCATTTTATACTTGCACTTAAGACAAGTACTCTGCCATACCTTCTCTTTTCTAGATTTGGCATCAGAGTAAAACACACACAGGTTCAAGTACAAACTAGGTTCGATAGTTCAACATTATGGAAGGAAAAATACTTTACTACCAAAATTTTCCTTGTATATTGCTAATGACCTTGATCCCTGGGACCTTAGATTTCCCTTTGGTATATTAATTAGATCAGATCACATGGTTTCAAGACAAGAACTCAATAACTCTATTGCTTCCCCATACCTAGATTTCCTGTCTATAAAACTGATGACTCTTTGGACAACTGATGAAGGGAAGAGATAGGCAGCTAAATGGAAAGCTGCATGTAGTGACTATGGAGTCAGGGTCTGGATACATAGATATTTGTCTATTATCTGGAGGAAAATGAGGCTCCTGTTAGGACCATTCATTCACACTCATTTGGATTCCCCATCCACACTAACAATATAGATCCTCTTGAGACCTGTGTGAATTACTCTCAGGAGATAGCATGGAACAGTGAGAGAGGACCCAATGTTCAAGGAAAAGTGTAAAATGGAAAAGAGAGAGGCAGGATACTGAAAATGAAGAAGATGAACATGAGGTTATAACAAAGGTTAGCTAAAAATGAAAGAGACAGGATTCTAGGGTAGGATGATGACTTCCTGTCTCCCTTATTTAATATCTGTAAATGTCAACACACAACAGAAGGATGTAAGAGACCTGTGAAAGTCATTATGAAACCTGACTTTAAATTTTTACTTAGTTTGTAGATATTAGAATTAACACAAAATAAGCAAAGTGCTACATTTGACATTCAAAAAGAGAGGAACTATTGGTAAACAGGTCAGAAGCTGAGGTGCAGCAACACCAGATATGCTGCCAATACCTTGTTCCCTCTGCAATGCACTGATCACCAGAGTATGGGATTTTAAGACTAGTGGCTGTCTCTCATGTTCAACTTGGCACATAAGCTTGATGTCCTC